GAAAAACTTTTTCATAACGAAAACCTTTGTCAAACTTTTGAAAGGTTTATAATACAGTTGCTGTTTGTCACATCATTTTCAGTACTATTATTGTTTTAGTGGCTAAAGAACAAAAATTTTGCAGGGTTCATTCTTACATTTAACATAATTTTTGCAGAAGCTTTTTGGCTTTTCAAATTGCATTTGAAAGCGCATCTTAGATTTCTCAATAATCAGCAAGATTTGGAATAAAAAATATTTTTTTACAGTGTATGGTGATTGTATTGAGCACAATGAGCAATCTCACCTTGCAAATGACTTTGACTTGTCCAGTTTCTTTTAAAAAATTTTTAACCATTTTTGATATTTGGACATAAAGTTGTTTGAAGTCTTATAAAACTTACTAACACTTGTTATTTAATAAGTGATATGAAGAACTTAGTATATGCCCTTCTAGCCTATTCGCGTTTCCTTTTGTTAGCTACGATGCAGGAGCAGACAGATAAAGAGCCAAAATCGTTGGTTCAAGATGAAAATTCAATGATACGCGAAATTATTGCCACTGAAGCTGCTTATCTAGAATGTATACGCGTCACTGTCGAAGTAGGATTACTCGTTAACATTTATTTTTTTGAACGTTACTTGCTAGCAAAAGTTTTTAATATGACATGTGAATACAGTATTTTTAGGAATATATGCCACTGTTTGTTACGTCGGAACCAAATAAAGTGAAACTGATGAAGCGTCTGCAGTCGCTGGTATTTGGGGCTATCGAAGATGTTTACGTTTATCATACAAATATGATTTACCCTGATATCATAGTCTTAAAAGAGTTAGATTTCTTTTCACCTTTCTTTATAAAATTAATAAAGATTTTTCTTTTTAATTTAACTTTTGAACTCTTATGCAGAAATTAAAATAACAATTCAAAGAATTATCTAAAAAGTTATTGGTTTTTTATTGGTATTCTCAAGACTGCGATTCTTTGTATCTCGGCCTCCACCCTGGTGACAATTGTTAAGAAATAAGAGAAAAGGCTGAAAACTTTAGCAACTTCAAATTAGCAACTTGATTTACGAGATTACTGGAGTTGGCATTTATAGTGAAAACTTTTTTCCTAAAGCGAGGGGCAAACATGAATGAATTTTTTACTAGTTTGGGATTTTGCCACTTTTTACGATATTCTTAGCAGCAGAGCAAGAGGGCTTCTGTAACAACCGGAGAAGGAAGTTCAGAATAGCAAAGACAACGACAGCAGATGCAGCAGAATTGGCAGAGAAGCCAAAATTGTTTTAACAATTAAAACACAGCAGAATGACAAAGTGACTATAGCAATATATATTTGAAATGTTGTTTTTATTAAATTTTACTGTATCTTGTAATTGTCAGCGTATAGTTTCTGCTTAATTACGCAGAAACCTGCACATTCACAACAATGCTGACTCGCTAGTTCAGAAATCTTCTGCTGTGGGTACACTATTAATTATGCGAACAGATGACACAAAAAACTTATAATTATTTAGCGAAGAAAGGTAGAAATGAACACAGTTCACTTCACATTAAGTTCAGATGCTTTTTGACTTTATATTAAAAGCCACTTCTTCTAAAAGCCTATTGTTATAAAGCGAAAAAAATTTTGTACATGGGAACTACTAGAGAAATAAGATTTTATTCTAAGAGGTTACGAGGGTGATGAGTAAACCTAAAAGATATTATTATAAAAGAGTTAGTACTGGATAAAGCTCAAAATTACTTTTAGTGTTGAAGATGCTCGTCTAGCGGAGAAATTTGCAGAGGCGATTGCAGAGAAAAAAGACTATTTTGATGCATATGGTTTCTATGTCCAAGCAAGACCCGCTTCAAAAATGTTATTGGCTTATAACCTTGGACAACACAAAAGTTTGCAGTTAATTGATGAAGCTCTTAGTGTTGCTAACAAGGTATTCGTTTGTAAAAACTTCGTATAATTGTCTTCCCTCTTCTTAAAAACAAAGAAGGAAACTTTTAGGGCTAGCGCTGTATTTTAAATACAAAATCAATTAATCCTAGAAGGCCACAGACCTTTTGGTGTATAATAAATTTTCTTACAAAAGGTAATGTGAATTATTAACTCATGCTGAAAGGTGTAGCATAGAATGACCATTAAATAAAAAATTAACAAAGTTTTGACAAAGTATTTATTTACCGCTCCCTTCGAGGAAAGTAATTCAAAATAATCAAAGCTTTGAATTTTGACTGCGATTGCTGTACCACAAACTGAACATTATTTACGAATTATGAATTTATAGACTTTTGCTGTAGTGATGTAGAATTCGCGGCTTTAAATCGCTTGTAAATGTTTTTACTTAATACACGAAAGTCATTGTCTTACGTTCTGATGTTAGTTTTCAGCAAAGCATGTTATCATAAACTTGTTTTAAATGATACAGTTTTCTTTTTTGAAAATTACTAAAAGATTGAATTTATTTGCTTATGATTTGGGTTTTAAGAAGGGCTTCTGCAAATTGCTGATTACCCAGAAATCTTTACTTTTCTTTCTACCAGAGAGGTCAACTCTGGAAGGCTCCATCGATTTGTATATTGTAGACTCGAGAAGAATTGGAAAGGGTTTTACAAGAGCCCATTAATCGCGTCCGAAAATACGCAAAGGCCCTTGCAAAGATAATTTCAAAAATGGCGTTGGACGACGTAAGTGAGAAAATGAGACATTTTTTTGTGACTTGACAATTTGACTGTTTAACTGTGTATTAATTCTGAAAATGTTCATCGAGTGAGAGAAAAGTTTAAAATTCAGTTAAACTTTTTGCTGAATCAGCCAAAGTTTGTGTCGGATTGCTGTGCACATTGATAAAAGTGGAATTGCTGCGAGTAATTCTTACTTCATACTAGGATGCACTGGTTTAGAATAAACAACTTTTGTTAAGGTACTCTTATTTAAGAATTGTGTTGTCTGAAATTGGTGTAGTTGACATCTGACGTTTACTAGAAAATGAATGTTTAAACTGCGTAAAAGTTCTTAATGAGCAAATAGTATATGAAGTACTGGTGTTTACAGCCGGAGATTGACTTGCTTTCCGACGCATTTGCTGCTGTAGATTTGGAAGAGGCATACAAAACAGCGGTAGCTGAATGGGCTGCGGAAAGAATTAAGGACTGCCCCGTGGATTTGCAGTTAGTTTTCAGTGGGAAAAAGCTTATTTTATTCAATTCGTGATAGACACGATTTCTTTATTTTTCAGATGATCCTCGGTAATTAAAGTAGTGTTAGGAGGAAGGTGTAAAATGTTGCTGACGCAGACAAATTTCAAAGCTGAGACGATGTTGCTTAAAAATATGCTTTTTGATCAGAATGAACACTACTAAAATCAGTAGGAGAAACTAAATTTTAAAATGCTTTCTAAAATGTTGGGTTGTTGAAGTCGTCAACATTACAGTGACCTCTTTTTGCTGCTACTTCGTCTTTGATTATTCTCTTTCAAAAAGCGATAGTTTGCTAATGACACGACACTTCGTTGAATTTGTTGGGCAAGATCGATCACTAGTGGTTTTATAGAGTCTGCGTTCCAGGTTTTAGAACAACAATTTTTGAATCATTTCCATTGTGGTGTCGTGTGACAGTACCATGGTTAACAGTTAAACAGTGTGGGCAGCAAAGTTTCAATTTCATCGTGTACAAATTTTTGTCTCAAGCAGTGATTTTTATCAGACTAATCGTCTAGATTTGAAAAGTTCTATTGACCATATCTTTAGTAAACTACTAAACATTAGTTAGTGGTTTTTTTAAATGAGAATCTAACCTGGATTTTAGTGCAGATCTTCAAGTAAACCAGTTCAAACAGCTAATTTTTAAGCTGTTTTATGTAGAGATCAGTTCTCACAAAGTATTTTAAATTCGGTTACAAAAGTGATTTTATTTTTCTGAAAAGTCAAATGAGGAAAATATTTGGTTAAGTCGGAGTGTTCGGTTTTTCTTAACGGTCAATGTACGTAAAACCTGTTTTTGAAGCTTTTTTGGTCTAAACGTTTACAACTAACATGTAAGAGACGTTTAACTGCGTCATCAACTTTTGAACGATATTGCTCAAACACGTCTCAACTACTTGTTTTAACTATCCGCATAATTATCTTCTTTTATGGCCCCCTCTGTAATGTTTCTTGTACTCTCTGTAGTTGGTTTTTTTGCTCATGTTCAGTTGCGGCGTTACTCGTAACAGCAACACAAATTTCTGTCTAAGTTTTAGCTCAAAGTAAAATATAAGTTTTGGATAACTCAAGATTATTTATAAAATATTTATTTATTTTGAAAGGATCAAAAAATTTTTATAAATCGATGTATAAAACTGACAAAAGCAAAAGTTAAACAAAAAATTTGCAAAAAAATAAATTTTCTGAAAGCGATATTTCATTTTTCCCAATCAAAATATGTTGCTGTAAAAATCCATGAAGAGCTTTGAAGATAGTTGTGTCTTTTTTGTAGGATACTGCAAATGAAATTATTCTGCCTTTGTCTTTTCATTTTATTTCATTTACTTTTTGAAGTTCATCTCTTTTTGGTGAGTATTCTATAGTTGCTTTTTAAACTTTTCTATTTCATCGCTTAATTTTCATTTCGGGCTATATTTTGTCAGAGAAATTTCTGTTTGTATCAGAGCGCCGGTGGTGTAGCAGTTTACGATAATCTGAATACATAAATTGCTTTTTCGTCGCGAGAACGTTTCATTTGAGAAGGAGTTTTGAAGGTAGTTTTTGCATTTTAATAATGCTGCCTAATTGTATTTAAGCAAACAAGGACAACTGCTAAGATATGACTCCCTACACTACAGTAAGGACGGAGGAGATATAAAACAATGCTGTGTATTTGTTTATGGTGGTTCTTTAATAATAACAACACCGGAACTGTATGATCTACCGCCAGAACAACACTCCAAAGAATTGACTTTTTTACACTATCTTCCTGTAAGTCTGATACATTTAATTTTGCTGCATATGCTACTTGTTAGGTCAAATGTTTTTGATAGAATATTGCCGTAGATTTTGGCTGCTTTTAAACTGACAATTATCTTCTTATAATATTGGAGGGGAAAGAATTGAAAGAAAAGAGCCAAACAGATTTATAAATGCAGCGAATAGCATACACTGAATAAGTTCCGCGATGAAAATCTTGTTCTGTCACGTAATACTCGGCTTTTCTTTCTCAATATTGTTCCAATAATGCCAGAGTTAACTGCTTGATTATGGTAGATTGATCACTGATTTTATATCACGAAAAAAAAAAACGATTAATCAACATAATAGAATTTCAGTTTTGTTCTTAGCCAAAAAACTTGCTGGGCTTTCGAGACTCTCAGCAGAAAAGCTGTACCGTTATTTCTTCGTTCGCCTTCTCACTAACATAACTGATACGCTTTACAGTTTTACAATACTATTTACAATACTACTTAACTTCCTGCTGGAAAAAGCTTTCATAATACTTAACGCTTAACGCATCTTACAGGCTCGTTTAGTTTCTACCATAGGAAAAACTTTACGTAAGCTCTTCAAGTAGTTCTGAAACATACGCTCTAGTGGAATAAGCACAAAGAGCACAAAAACTTAAGAAAGCGAATAATTTGTTTTCTTTTATAAATGTTACTACAGTGGTTTTTTTCATGTCAATAACTAATGATTTGTCTCAAAATTTTATTGTGGTGAGAATTTTATCCTACGACACGCCAAAATTCTAATATATTGATATTGAATTTTTAACTTTTAATCGGTTATTTTAGCTACGTGATTCTATCGTAACCGTGGGTGAAAAATCAAGCGAAAAATTTGACGTAGAAGTGACGAAGCCAGACGGAGAAAAAACTGAATTTTTTAGTATTTGGGTGAGCGTGACTTATTCTGCTTTACAAATCTTAATAGCTTTTCTGCCTTTTTATTTTTCTTAAAATTACTGTAAAATTTTGGCGTTTTTAATATAGTAGTTCTACCAGTATTTTCTAATCAGGACAGTACAAGTTAGAGGGGTGTTAGACGGTAGAAGCGTCAGGAGCAGTAAGCAATGACAAAAGCTTTCAGATGGTTTTTGGAGTAAATATAGAGAATATCTGAAACTGGTGGTTGGAGAAGTGGTTTTAAGCTCAAAATAGATGTTATTAAAATATGCGTTTGTTTTGTTTAACGCTGTGGAAGAACTGAAAAAAATTAAAGCAGTTTCTGAAGAGATCGGATTATATAGTTACAGGTCAGAAATAAGTAAATATTTAGATAAGGCAATAGGAATGATTCTGTAAAGTGCGAAAATAAGGATTTTATTGGACAAAAGAGAGAAGAGTGAAGAAAGTTTGAGGAACACTGATTTAGACAGGATTGCTGTTTATCAGCACAACTTGAAACGCTGGGGAATTTTTTGAAGAACTGTAAACAGCTGGTTGTCGTTAGCTAATAAAACTTTTTTTCTGATGATAAAGAAATGTTTAAAGTGTTTAAAATAAACATTTAATTTTTAGACAGACACCAGGAAAGATTGCGCAAAATGGGTTAAAAAACTTCGAAGACTCAGAGAATCAGTGAGACATTCCTCGCCTAAACTTCATGTCATAATATTCGTTAGTGACCGAATTTGTAAGTAGCAGTCGTACACTTTAAATTTTGCAGCTACCCTCTTCTGAAGCTGAGGAAGCGGAAAAAACTGCAGCTGTTGGACCAGTAAGACCTCTCTCTTTTTTAGTTGAAAGATAATTATTGCAAACTTGTATTTATTGTGTAGACAACTAGCTATCAAATTTCAAAACAAATTCTAATTTAATGTTAATTTTTGTTCTAAGGTAGTGTTTGAAGTGCAGTTATAATTGACCATTTCATAACTGTTTTTCAAGCTTTATTTGAGCTCGCTTTTTTTTTTATCATTTCATGTTTAAGTTGAACTTTAAAAAACAGTAGCTTCAGACAGTCGGTTTAAGAGGCTAAAGAAAATAACTAAAAATCTGAAAATTTGTGTTAATTCATACTCTGCCGAAGTTCTTTTTGGAATTATTTTTTGAAATTTGTAATTGCAATTATTATTTTTGGATTTTTTTCATAAGCAAATGTTCTTTTCAATTCGATTAATTTTACTCTTTATGCAACTTAGTGCACAAACAGCTGAGAAACGAAAAAAAGTACACTTTAGAAAAAACTGCATAAAATGAAACTTTATTTTTTCCAAGAAACCTTATGCACCACTTTCTGTCTTAAAAAGTTATAGTTTTTAGCGCTAAAAATTTCTGAGAGTTAATTTCTGGGAGTTAATTTCTGAGAGTCAAGCGAACAAAAGTAAATGATCACAGCGTGTTATAATTGAATTCAATCTCGAGCTGACTTTCTGATATTGAAATGCAGCTGCCAGCTGTAGTGAAGACAGCGGAAAGTCAACTAAAGAGGCGCAGTTCCACAAGAACAAGCTGAAAGTGGCAGCTACAAGTGTTATTTTGAATCCTGAAGCTTTTTTGCTTTAAAACCTTTCTTATGTAAAGCAGAAAATTCTGAGTATTGTATACTCTCCAATGGTGTTTAACTGACCGATCTTTTTGCATTTTTTTCAATACTGAAAATTTTTGAATTGTTTTTTTCTTAGTAGTTTGTGCAGAAAACATATAGTTTAAAGTTTGCAAGCCAGAAAATTTTATGTAGATTTAAATTACTCAACTGCTCCTGTAAACTGTAAAGGTAAGTACTCTTAAAGCGAACATAACGGCGCAAAAACCTGAAAGATATTTGCCCTCGGACAGGGTTTTCACTTGACTGAGAATTCATTTTTCATTCTGGATTTTCAATTCTTAGATCCGAAACCAGACTTTACCACTTAGGAAAACTTTAAAAAGTTTTTTGAAATATGGAATAAAAAGATGTGCTATTTGACACGGAATCGCACTGTTTGCTTGAAATAATACTATTTATTTTAAACTGTCATGTAATTTTGTTATGGAAAAAGTTAAGACAGTGATTTTTGTTCAAACCGGTTTTTTTGCAACCGTTCGTGTTACCCGGAGTGCTTCCGGTGCTATTTCAAAACTCTAACTATATATTACGCTTATCATACAATCTTCATATTGCAGCTGAGAGAGAAAAATATATTAAAAAAGTCAAAAATTCGGTAATGATTGATGATTTCACTATTCAAACAGCTGCCGTAAAAAATTCTTCTGATTAGTAAAAGAAGATAGGAATAGTTTGCTATTATATATCGATCACTTACGGTTCATCTGCTTGCAATTTGTAGAATTTTTGGAGTATTTTGAGGTCGGACTTATCAAATTTGTTTATTTACAGGAACCGGTAGTCGAGGATGAGGAATTTGAAAAACCTCGATCTGCTAGAAAGCAGGTAATACTTTTGCGTTCCTTTTTTTACATGTTTTTCCTCTTCTTTAGGGTGTGGAGGCTACTAAACTATTCAGGGAGTTTATGCTAAATTTTCATTCCAGCAAATATATGTACGTAAGTCAACTAGACCTGGGTGTCTAAAAGTTCTTGTTTCCACGGTTTGGTAATGCCAAGAAGGAAAGTCAAAGAATGAAGCTTTGGCTAGACGTCAGCGCAACAAACCCATCTAGCACTAGCGCAAGTAAGTAGTACGCGAGCAAACACTTGAAGTAGCAAAAGATACGAGCTGAAATAGCTCGGAACCAACTAGAACAGACAAACAGTAGAGTAGGACTGTCACAACAGCATGCTAGCAGTAGGAATAAACGTATGTCAAAGCTCCTTGTTGGCGACAGGTATACGAGCATTTTTTCAGAATGGTATCAAAAAAAAAAAGGACGATTACCTGACCCAAAAATTTTTATCGCTTCAAGGTTGAACATTTGAACCCAAACAGCTGACATCTGACATCTTCCAACCAATTATCACATTGAGATTTATTTTGGCAGCCTATTGAGTCGAAGAAATAGACTGAATTTTAAAACTATGGTTTTTGTGGTTAAAATCGGTAGCACAAGTAGCTCTTGCAGGCTATAACTCTTCAATTTGAATAGAGTTTCACAAAGCCGGTTTGTCGCATCCTACGATGCCAGACCTATGTGAAACAAGAACTTTAAGCTATTTTACGAAATGAAATTGAAGACAGAGGAAATATGTCAGTGCAGTATTAATACGGCAAGAAACCCGGTGTTTTGATGCATTCCGAAATAAAGGCAATGAAAAAAGCAAGTTGCGATGTACGTACAAGCTCGTTCCTACAAGATTTTTTTAGCGTTGTGACGGTAACGTAGTGCTTGCCGGATCTGTCACTTTCAGTGCAGTCTCACTACTGTGAAGTAAGCAGTATTTTGAGGGTCATACTGGAGTGGCATAAAGGGACATGGCAAGTGTAAAAAATGAATCAGCCTCGGCTGAAGGACATTACTGCCGTTTTACGATTCATACCTATGGTTATTTTTATTCAAGTTAACTTATCAAATCCTAATCGAAGCTAATAGCGTTAGACAAAATGATATTGCTGAAAGTCAGAAATTAGCAACTGGAACTGATGAAACAAAAGTTGGAAAAGCTGTGGTTTATCCGTCTATTCTTTGCATTTCAAGTTTATACTTCATCAAGAAAAAATTGTTAGGACTCCAAATTTTTCTTTTTAAACTTTAGTCTAAATTTCTGAAGCTAGTTTTGAGAGTGAGCAGTATTTGGAGACTTACCTTGTATTTCTAATATTCATTTTGAGTACTAAAGTTTTCTTGACTAAGGAAATGCGGTTTCAGACTTATTTGCTAAATGTAGCATAAAACCCCTGAACAGCTCAGTATTCTTCATAATGCAACAAGGGCCGTCTGGGCGTAAATGCAAATATTACACGGACTAAAAGTGGCTTGTTAAAAAACCTTCCTTTTTTGCTTAAGAAATTTTACAAAGATTTACTAGGACTGTTTATTAACAAATAGCGAAACTTCAGACCATAAGAAGCACAAAGAGGCCGCTTTGTCCACTGTTTCAGAAAAAACATCCCAGAAAATTTAATGAATTCCTCCACATCAAAAATTTAGCGTGGAAACCGTTTCTGAAGCAGCGCAGTTTTAGATTCATCACTTTTTGGCCTTAGTCCAATTTTCGGCTTAATAATAGCGGTAATCTTTGCTTACTTCTCCAAAAAATTTCTACATTTTTACGTTTTTTAAATGTGGCACATCGAATCAAAAAAACATCATTATTAATCCATTAAAATAGATCCATTAAGTCTCAGGGTTGGCTGAAATTTTTCTTCGATTCTTTTTAAAAAAATTTTCCTAAAGAATATTCTGAGCATGTATATTATTTTTTCTTAATAGGACATGGTGCCAGAAGTTGCAGAAGTTGCTCCAGGTGAGTACAGCAAATTCTGTTGGCCTAAAATATTGTTTTCCTTGCTGTAATCTTTTTTCTGGAAGCTTAAAAAATAGCTGGTAGTACTTTCATTGTCGCAATGAACACCGCTGTACTGAATAGTGGCCTTTGATAGTGCAATAATAAGTTAGATAATCCAGATTTAGTGTTTTTCAAAAATTGCTTTAGAAATACGTATGATTTTTCAGAATCGCGGATTGCATATCATTTTAATCATGTATATGCTCAAAAAGAACTCAGCATCTTATAAAGGTTTAGTAAATAAAAATCATCAGTGGTGAAAGAGTTACCGTTAAAAAAAAACAAACGTTTTCCATAATTATTCTAAACTGATTAAATTAACACATTTTGTCATTGATGGTTACTATTAACAGCGGTGAAGCAGTTATGATAGCCTCAATACGTCCTTCAGGAAGGACAGTTCTTACCAGTTTAAACCTTTCTTTATCTTACGAACTCACATCTAGTTCGCAAACAAGGATTATCAGGAAGGCTCTCCGTAATAAAGAGAATAAGCTAAATAAAAAAAGAGCTGACTATTGCAAGAGAACTATGACGTTAAGTGTAAAGTAATTCTTAAAATATAGGATTAAACGGACCTAAAGGTTTTGAATTTTTGTACACAGCGTAGAGTCACGAACAATCTAAGATTTACCAGTCTAATAAGTTTTCTCCTTTCAAAAAGCAAAAAACAAACGAACAACGACAAATCACAACGTTTCCGTGTCTATATAGATAAATTTGCAGAACCAGTAGCAGAACAGAAGGAGCACTTCATGTTTCCTCCTGAAGTGGAAGAGGAACCTGTGTCAGAAGCAACTACTGAGGAAGAGCCCAAAGAAAAAAGTCCGTTTGACTTTTGGAAAAAGAAGGAGGAACAAGCGAAGAAAGCTAAAGAAACAAACCCTATCCAGTTTAAGTATGGCCAAACCCAAGCCGAAGCCGCTCGTAAGGAGAGAGCTTTTAAGCTAAAAGAGAGCAGTCGTTTTAAGTTTTGGAAAGACCGAGAAAAGGAATACAAAAAAGCTGAAAAACGGAAAATTCAAATGCAAAAAGGTGGCAGAGCAGCACTGAATATAGAAGACAGGGATAGTGAAGAAGATGAATGAATGTAAAATATTTGAAGCATTAAAAGGAGTGCAAAACCGTTTGACAGCAATTCTAGTAAATTCTGTTTTTACGTGGGAACAATTTTAAAAAACAGACCAAGCAGGAAAAAAATTTTTGCAGTTTTGAAAGAGATTCCTAGCATCATTTAATTTCTTTAATCGCTTTCTTTACTCTCCCTTTACTCACTTCGTGATAACTTACAGTTACTGATAATAGACTTGTACTTCAGTTCCAGTAGTATCGATCAACGCTGTTGTAAATTAGTTTCAACAAAATGTTGCTTCATTGTTAACGTGAAATTCTAATGATTATGAAAAAAAGCAAGACCATGATGCATCTTCTTCTTTTCTGGTTATTTATTTCTTGTTAGATTGTTTAGATTCTCGAGAAGCACACTATAAAAATTACTATTTTGACAACAATTATTTTACTCTTGATATACATTTGTTGTGCAACATCTACAATAGCTTGGCAATTCTATGTTTGTTACTGTCCGTTTTCTGTATGTACATATTAACGCTCATCAAGTCCCCCGACAATAACAGTAACGCAAGAGAAATCTTATTTGATCAGCTGGAAGCTGTAAATCCGATCGGTAGATTCTTCGAAGTTAATTTCACGCGCTTTATGCGCACTAAAAATTCGCAACTAAATAAAGTCAACAGTCGACTGCAAAAATAATGGTAAAAAAGTTTATAAAATAGTCGCCCTCCCCCACCCGCAAAA